TACAGTGTATTCGTTATATTATCTCGTACAGTTGTCATGTTGTCTATAATACCTTATTGTGGTTGACTTAATCCTTCTCTATTTCACCCATATTCTATCCCGTTTTAACGATCACAATATACTTGCTCATTACCAATACTAAGAAGAAATGAAGAAGCGTGAAAGAAGAAATGACGAATCGTGAAAGAAGAAATGACGAATCGTGAAAAAAGACTGAAAAAAAACAGGTGAAGGCGTGAAAGAAGAAAAGAGAACGCGTCTGCAGAAAAAATTCAAAAAGGTGTCAGCAAAATGTCGGAAAAGAGTTTTCAGGATTCTATTATGTAGATAATAAAACAAACACTTTTCCCAAAATTAGACTCAAAATATGGATAAAAATAATTATCCAAACGCAGCCTATATTATTTTCTCTCAATTATTCATATCATTTTCAAGATCAATGTCAATATCTATATCTCCACTTATATTATTATTATCATGCAAAATGGACAACACATATTCCTCTTCACTTTCTCCATGCAAAATGGGTAAATTTGTACAAGTTTTAATGAATCGGGTTGCTGACTCGATTCTGACCCGAAATTCTTTTTAGGCCTTTAGCCCAATTAATAAAATTGTATCGATTTATATCGATATTTTTAAGGATACGAACGGATACGTATCATAGGATACATATCAACATATCGAAATGTTTAGGATACACTCTCTGATACGTATCGTTGACAACCTGTATCGAATTGTATCGTATGATACGTATCAGGTATCGTAGGATACTAACCACCATGATAGGTAATGTTCTCTTAATCCTCACGTATTCAAGTCTTTATGTTTTTAGCATATTCTACAAGTTTCACATTAACGTACCAGTAAAACAATACTTTGATTTTACAGATTTCACGTTGATACAATCATGTATCAACGTATAACTAATGAATGTAATACATAATTGGGTTCCATACGATTGAACGAAATGCACTGAAAAGCAATTTGATTCACACACCAACAACAAAATCCTTGCTCTACAGCACTGACAATTTGAGATGCAATCATCGCCATATGCATGATAATGGGAAGCGAAGTAAATAGTAAATACCACAAACATTATAATCTACTCATAATAAGCAAACACCATAAGTTCTATGAGCTACATTCATAATAAGTAAACGCCACAAACATTATGAGCTACATTCATAACAATCGTATCTGGCTTATGAAGCATGAATTCAACTGGTTTAGCAAAGCTCCCCAGCACGAGCAGCACAAAAAGCTACAGGATTAAGAAACGTCATTGCGCTAGAGAACAAAACCATCCCAAACATCCATTTGCATCTCCTTAGTTCTAATCCCAACCAAGACTCAATACATCAATACATTCAATTTCAAATGTTTCATCAATCCCTTGAAAAGAGCACATGAAAAATTAACAAATAGCATCACCTAGAACCACGTGAGTACCTCCTTACTGGGCTACCAAGGAGGGAATAACAAAATATCTAGACACACAACTATCGCCCACTAAATGAATACAGGTATGAAATACCATAAAATCCTGATTAGAAACTTGTTGCTAATGTCCGTTGATTAGTTGATAGAGTTGAAAGTGAATGCTGAGGTTGTATAGTTGTTGGGCAAACTAGTTTCTATGTTTAGTTGATCACATGCATTTGAAAAGCTGTTTAAGCTGGCCGTTGATCAAGCTGTTTCACTAAAGTTGACATGGATGAACTCATCATCTTTGATTGCTGCCAACATAGCTGATGCAAAGTGTTCTGAATATAACCAGAAAACCTCCAAGTTAAGAAGAAAGATAACCAATCAAAACTGGTTAAGTTTACCACCAAGGGTGAAATCACATTACCCTCTCTACAGTGATATATCGCCCCTCGAGAACTGACTGGTTGAGATACTTAATGCAACGGGTGGCATCCTCAACAGAGTCCATTGTGACAAAAGCAAAACCTCGAGAGATGCGCGTACGGGGTTCCACAACAAGAAAACATGAAGCAACCTGAACACAAAAGCTAAAATAAATTATAGAAGAAAGATAGGACATAATCCGTTCAAATAGACCAAGAAAACAATTAGGAAAAAAATCCAATCAATACTAAGTTTTGTGTAAAAAGAAAAACCTTTCCCTCCTTCGAGAAATGCTTTTCGAGTTCCCTTTCTGTGACTCTTGTAGATAGGCCAGTCACGTAAAGTGTGTTTCCAGGATTAGTAATATCAACCCTGCCAGATCATTAAAAAATAAGAGTAACAGAGAAACAAGCCATCANTCACCCTTGGTGGTAAACTTAACCAGTTTTGATTGGTTATCTTTCTTCTTAACTTGGAGGTTTTCTGGTTATATTCAGAACACGTTGCATCAGCTATGTTGGCAGCAATCAAAGATGATGAGTTCATCCATGTCAACTATAGTGAAACAGCTTGATCAACGGCCAGCTTAAACAGCTTTTCAAATGCATGTGATCAACTAAACATAGAAACTATTTTGCCCAACAACTATACAACCTCAGCATTCACTTTCAACTCTATCAACTAATCAACGGACATTAGCAACAAGTTTCTAATCAGGATTTTATGGTATTTCATACCTGCATTCATTTAGTGGGCAATAGTTGTGTGTCTAGATATTTTGTTATTCCCTCCTCGGTAGCTAAGCTATTCTCCCATATTCGGAATTTCCCTAATGAAGATTTTTCATTTTGTTTTTGAGGATGACTTATCAAATGTTACTTGTAGAAATGATGCCTGATCGTGTTCTTTACCATTACTCAGTCGTTGTTTAAAGTAAAATTTTATAATGGATAATTTTATAAAGGTGATTTTTTTTTTATCTTTCAATCTCGGAGGAAACATCCTAGAACTCCAACACCTGGACACTATCTTGGCTGAAAAGTAGTAGGGACTATGGTCATGGTGAGTATAATATGTTTATGATATTCCATCCTTGGAATGATTCATTGGTTCAATGGGCATCCTAACTGAATTGTTTACTGGTAAATTTGCTTCCTGCATTTGTGAAAGGTTCTCGTGGTGATCGTGGTTGTAGGTATCATTCTAGCCGTGATGATTATGGGTATCGTAGGTCTCCTAGGCGCTCACCATATCGAGGAGGCCGTGATTATTCTCCTGTGCACTCTCGTCACGGTGGAAGATCCAGGAGGGACAGATCCAGGTCGCTGCCTCATTCCCCTTACGGTAACCCAGTGAGGAGGTACTCACGTGGTTCTAGCCTCTAGGTGATGCTATTTGTTAATTTTTCATGTGCTCTTTCAAGGGATTGATGAAACATTTGAAATTGAATGTATTGACGTATTGAGTCTCGGTTGGGCCTAGAACTAAGGAGACTCAAATGGATGTTTGGGATGGCTTTGTTCTCTAGGGCAGTGACGTTTCTTAATCCTGTAGCCTTTTGTGCTTCTCATGCTGGGGAGCTTTGCTAAACCAGTTGAATTCATACTTCATGAGCCAGATACGATTGTTATGAATGTAGATCATAATGTTTGTGGCGTTTACTTATTATGAATGTAGCTCATAGAACTTCTGGGGTTTGCTTATTATGAGTAGATTATAATGTTTGTGGTATTTACTTCAATGTTTTGAAAACCGAACCAAACCGGACCGTTCGGTTGGACCGGTTCGATCGATAATCGACGGTATATCTGGTCCAGTATCCTTTAAAAACCGTTAATTTCATTCAACCCAGATTGGATTGCGGTTGGACCGTTGGAATAGTGCCAAATCACGGTCCAATCGCAGCTCAATCCCAGCACCGTTCGAGGGAGAAAACATCACCATTAGACTTGACGACATCTACATGACAAAACCCAGCCATTTTCAGTGGCTGTCATCCAGCCTTCGTCGCTTGTCGTCCACCTAAAGTTCACGCGACTATCGAACTTCTTTTGTTTATTTCGGCGATTTCTGGAGCTGATGGAACTCCTTAGCATCACCATCAGATTCGTTAGCACCTATACATCAAAAGCCCCATGATTCCAAACCTTGATTGGCCGTCGATCGTCGCTGCCACCACCATCACCAGTCTCTTCACATGACAGGGGTGTATTAGACATATTTCAAATCTTAAGGGAGTATTATAGGGGTGTTTTTGATTAATTTCAAACATTCAGGGACTAAAATTAATTTTACAGAATACGATCCAACCAACCGATCTAACCGATCAAACCGGTCAAACCAGAAACCTAACCCTTGAACGGGTCATAGTCCGGTCCGATTTTCGAAATATTGATTTATTTGCTTTGCATCCCATTATCATGCATACGGCGATTGTTGCATCTCAAATGGTTAGTGCTATAGAGCAAGGATTTTGTTGCTGGTGTGTGAATCAAATTGCTTATTAGTGCATTTCGTCCAATCATATGGAACCCAATTATGTGTTACATTCATTAGTTATACGATGATTGTATCAACGTGAAATCTGTAATATCAGAGTATCGTTTCACTGGTACATTAATGTGAAACTTGTAAAATATGCTAAAAACATGAAGACTTGAACACGTGAGGATTAAGAGAAAATTACCTATAGCGAAGATTTTAAAACTTGAACTGCATATTACACACTAAATAATTGAACACAGGATAATATTGTCACAAGTTTTAGCCCATATCCACTGAAATAAGGGAAAAAGAAAGAAAAGTGTTCATCAATAACCCCAAGGGTTTAGCGGCCAGAGATGTTTTGTTGGGTTTTTTGAGTTTTAACATGCTGTTTTGTTGGTTTTTTGAGTTTATAAGATATTCAATAAATTTCGGAAATTGGTTGAGGTGTACGAGAGCTGGTTCGGACACTCCCATTACCCAATAAAAAAAAAGGTTCATCATATTTTTAGGACTAGTCTGGTTAAGGAAAAAAAAAAAAAAAAATATGTGAAATTATTATAAGTGAGTCACTTAAAGTGACTATATAAGATTAAAATTTATGTGTTAAAGCTGGCCCAATTAAACTTACTCGAGGCCCAACATTACTTACTGACTTTATTTGCCTTTGATTACAACACAAAGTGGTAAACAATCTCCTTGCAGTAACGGGGGAAGAACTTAACAATGTCAGTGTCACTCCCAACTCTACTGAACCCCTACTGTAACCCCAAACTCTCTTATCTTCTTCCTCACTCTTTTCTTTCATTTTCCCACAAGCTTTCTTCTTCACCACAGAACTTTAATTTCCGTACAAAAAGACTCTACTCCCTCTTCCCTTCTGAATCTTCTTCTTACCTTCTTCAAAACCACAGCCTCGAACTTGAAGACCGTGTTATCGGCGACTGTTTAGTCTTCGAGGAAGGCGTGTTTGAGGACCCTTACCTTCAAAACGATGCCAGCCTTAGCAAAAACTCCGACTCAGACAAACCTAAACGGAAAAACAAGAAAAAATCTGTGGAAGTCGAAGGTGAGAATTTGGTTCCTGAGAAATGGAGACAAGTTCAAGAGGAAATTAACCTGACGAAGAAAGATAAGCGCAAGATTAGGCAGGAAATGGAGTTTGGTAGCCGAGTTGAGAAGAGGAAACAAGGCTATGTTCCTTTGAAGAGTTTAAATTTGCAGGAATATTTGGATTACAAGAAAGCTAAATTGGCTCAGGTGAAGCCGGTGGTTCTTGATAACCCTCAACGTTTTCGTGATGATAAAGAGTCCGAAGAAGATGAAGCAAATGTGAATGTGTCTTCGAGCGAGCGATTGGAGCCAAAGAATCCGAAATGGGCAGTTTATGGTCGAGGCTTGGACGATGTTTCTGAGTTTTTTAACAAAAATTATGAGCCTCCTGATAAGAAATCTGAAGGTAATGTAAAGTGTTAGTTTAATTGTTTATGAGTTTGTTTAGTTGATGGCTAATATTTTTATTTATAATTTCAAACAAGCAGGTCCACGTAAGTTGTTTACAAAGGAGGAGAAAATTCTGTTGAATAAGAAGATACCTGATTTAGTAACCTCTACCTCTGTAAGTCCATTACTGCGGTTGTGTTGTGCTTTACAGGTTCATTTTATAGTTCTTGGATGATTCCTTTTAACAGGTTTCAGTAACCCGGACGTGATTTATTTATTGCTTAATTTTCTATAGAAATAAAACAGAAATTGAGAGATTTTGAGAGTTAAGAAGAAAAATCAGAGAGCTCAAATTTTCTAAAACTCAACTAACTTTTTTTTTTTTTTTTAACAAAAACTGAGATGCAAGGCAGTAGGTATACACGCAGAAATTAGAGGGAAAGTCAGTTAAGAGTTTCTTTAATTTAAGACTTTGATTTTTGGAAACAGTAAGTGTGAACTAACTGCATCCTATGAGATTTCCAGGTCAGCACTAGTGGCAGTTCACTCTGCTGAACTGGGCTGGACTTCCTTAGTTCAGAATTGCTTCGTCAATCCTCTTTTCATTCCTTTTCAGCCTGAGTGTCTCTAAGGATATGAAGCTTGTCTCTTAGATATTCAAATTTGTAAATAGTTAAGGCTTTAGTGAAGATATCTGCAATCTGTTCTGCTGTTGGAACATATCTCACTTCAACCTCTTTATTTGAGATTTTCTATCTTACAAAATACCCATCAAGTTCAACATGCTTTGTTCTTCCATGGAATACTGGATTGGCTGTCAATGCTACAGCCCCTGGTTATTACACCAGATCACTGGCATGTTGCTTAGCTTTATATTCAATTCACTCCACACTGAATTTGTCCAGGCCATTTCAGCTCATACATTCGCCATAGCCCTACACTTACTTTATGTACTTGATCTTGGCGCCACTTTTTTCTTTCTTAGAACTCCAAGAGATTCCTCGCAAGTAAACACAATACCCTCCTACTAATTCTCTGTCACCAACCTCACATCCCTAGTATGCCTATGTAAAATCAGTCACTTCAAATCTTCCTTTTGTATCAAGTACCAGCCCTAAATTGCTTGTAGCTTGTAAGTCTCTTAGGAGTCTTTCGCAGCCACTCCAACGCACCACAGTTTGATTCTCAAAGTAGTGACTTAGCTTATTCACTGCAAATGCAATCTTAGGCCTTGTCAAAGTTACATATGGCAAAGAGCCTGTTGTAATTCTGTACAATGTAGGATCTGAGAAGAGTTGGCCTTCAGATTTGGAGAGCTTATAGCTTATGCACATAGGAATGGGACACCCTTTGCAGTGAATCATATTGGTTTTCTTCATAATATCCTGAATCTTACTTAATTTGGGACAGATGCAAAGTGGTTCTTGTCCTTTCAGCCTCTATCCCCAAAAAATAGGATAGTGAACCCCAATTCCTCTAGTGCAAAGCTCATGTTTAGAGATTTGACCACCTTTGCTGCAATTTTGTCGCTACTTGTAGTAACTAAAATATCATCAACATACACCAGAAGTATTGTCAAATGATTGTCTAAATGGGACATGAAAATAGAAGTATCTGACTTAGAGTTTTTGAACCCCCACTGCAGCAATGCTTCCTTTAGTATCTGACTTGAAGTCTCGGAGATTACTTTAGCCCATAAGAGCTTTATCTAGCTTGGATACAAACTCATTTTTTGTTTTGTCTTCAAATCCCTCTAGCTGCTCCATGAACACATCTTCACTCAAGCTTCCATTTGAAAAAGAATTGTACGCATCAATTTGCTTTGCATCCCAATGATTCATCATTGGTGGACTTAGGACTATTCTAATTGTTGAAGTCTTCACCATAGGACTAAAGGTTTCTGTAAAGTCAATTCCAGGAGCAAGGTTTTAAAACCCCACTCAAGGGGTGGCAAATTAAGGCGACAGGGTCACAGGTTAATTGGTTTAACCAATGGTTTGAAAAGTTTAAAATCTAGCAAACACACCCTTGATAAATACCATCAGACACTATAGGTTTGAATTCTAGCAAACACAACCCTTGGTCAAATCAAATCGGTGATCGACTAGGAGAGTAGCGGTGACACACCAGGGAGGGTAGATCGGGTGATGGGGAGGACGAATCGGCAACTGGCAAGTTGAGGCATCGTTGGAAAATGGTAGATCAATGGTGGAAGTCAAACGACTACGGTGGCTTTTTTTGGTGAGATGACTGTAGATCTTCGTGAATGATAGCAAAGGAGCTTGGGAGAAGGTAGATCGATGGCTAAGGAGGCCTATTGATGTCAGAGAAGATGCGATCGGTGTCGGGAAATGGAAGAAAAATTGTTGGATGACGAAACATTGTGTGGCGGCGGGGGATGAAGCGTCACAGCCCTGGAGAAACTCAGATTGTGGTTTCCGACAGCAAGGGAAGGTGGAAGGTTGCCGGAAAAGGGGAGGTCATCACCGATTTGCATTTGGCTAGAGGGTGTGTTTGCTGGATTTCAAACCTTCAGGGACTGATGCGTATTAATCAGGGGTGTGTTTGCTAGATTTTAAACTTGAAACAGTTGAAAGGGTAACCCAACCCGGAGAAGGCCCCGGGTCCCGGTCCAAGTGTTAAACCGACCGTCCGGGTTTTTAAACCATGTCCAGGAGTTAGATGATACCCCATTTTCAACTAGTCTAGTCTTATATCTTCCAATTGTTCCGTCAGGCTTGTATTTTATCCTAGAAACCAAATTACAGCCCACTCTTTTCATATTTGAAGTTCTAGGAACAAATCTCCTGGTTCTTTTGTGATAAGAGCCTCATATTCTTCTACCATGGCTCTTTTCACTTTGGAACCTGGAGAGCTTGACCAACAGTTTGAGGTACTGTGGAAGTCTGTGGAGAGGGTAAACTGGCATGTAGATGTTAGATTTGAAAATGCCAGCTTTGGCTCTTGCAATCATATGATGAGTAGGGAGAAGGGAAGGAGCTATAGGAAGGTCAGCAAGAGGTATAGAAGGTATAGAATTCACTTGAAAAGCAAAAGCTAGTGATGGAACTGGTGAAAGTGGTATTAATGCGGTATAGTGATCAGTAAGAGGAGGTATAGAACTTGCAGGATTTGCTGGTGAATGGCCAGAACTTTCTGCTGGAGAATCAGGAAAAATGACTAGAACAGCTCTCAAATAGAGGAGAAATGAAAACAAGACACATTTTCAGAATAGAAGAATTTAGGCTTAACTGAATGGAAAGCTGACTCTATGGAGTGAGGATTTTGAGAGAGTTTTAGAAGAAAAATTAAGAGAGCTGGAATTTGCCAAAACTGAACAACTTTTTTCGCTATTTAAAACTGTGCTACAAAGCATTATTTATATACTCAAAATGGGAGGGGAATTCGGTTAACAGTTTCCTTAGTTTGAGCTTTGATTTTTGGAAACAGTAAGTGGGAGCTAACTGCATCCTATGAGCTTGCAAGGTCAGCACCAGTGGCAGTTAGCACTGCTGAACTCTGCTGGACTTAGCTCATAACTGCTTCTTCAATTTTCTTTTCTCATATGAATTGTACATAATGTTATTTTTAGTAACATACCATTGCTAGATTGATCTAAAAATTATGTAGACTAGCACCCAAGTACTTAATTTGCTTTTTTTAACTAATAAAAACCAGGATTTTTTAATAAAAAATATGGGGTTCAAATGAGTATGAATCTACTGCAACAATGTTTCTGATCCTAGATTGTATCTGTGCGCTAATGTGCTTGAACCCTGGACCTTACTCTGAAGAAATCATGCGAGAAAGCACCTTGCAAAAAACTTAAGTGGACTCTTTAAGCAGTTATAACGGGTCTTATGTTATGTGTAACAGTGTACTATTGGCTTCAAGTACTAACTATTTAAGTAGAATAATCCTTGTGGTTTGTTTTAAGGGACTTGATGTTGTCATCTATTTATAACTTCTGATGGAATCTTTTTCAGAAAAAATGGCTACCTCTTCACACCCTCGCTGCATCTGGAGAGTTCTACCTTGTTGATGCTTTGTTGAAACACAATGTTGACATCAATGCTGTGGATAAGGTAAATAAATTGACCACTTTTTGACTAGATATGATACTGTGCCTTTGTTTTTCTCCCTTCCTCTTTTTGGTTAAATACATCAGAATGTTTATCTAAATGAAAGAAGTGTCACTTGATATTACATTTAGCTGCTATTTTAAGCCCTTCTTTTTTCTAAAATAAATTTTTCAATTTTGGCTTCTAACATTTTTTCAGGATGGCTTGACTGCAATTCACAAATCTATCATTGGGAAGAAGCAGGCAGTTACCAACTATCTGTTGAGAGAATCAGCGAATCCTTTTGTTTGTGATGATGTGAGTTGAAACTATTTGGCCTTGGACCATATACGAATATATGTTATCCATGTGAAGAGTATATTTAGCCTCATATTATTGTCGGTGCCATTCATATCTTGTCTTCTTTGTGAAGGCTTCTATTCACAAAGGCTTACTTTTTGCTGAACTTAAAATTTGAGATTGCTTGTTATCTGAAACTCTCTGTATTGGGACCTTAGTCATGTATATCTTTTCTTGATATTCTTCTGTTATTTCTTTGCAGGACTAACTTCTTCATTATTACTATTATTTTCATCATCATCTTGATGGCTAATCATCTTTTTCTACAAAGTTTCTTTGTTTTTTTTTGTTTCCGCATTTCCTTATTTGAACTTGATTTAGGCTCATTAATATTTGGTAATGTTGTTTATTGTAAACTTCTTGTTCAGCTTAATGCATTTACACCACTTAGTATATTTGGTCATTCAATTGATTAGTAAATTGATACATTTTATGTTTTCTTACTGCTACAGAATGGGGCCAGTTTATTACATTATGCTGTTCAAACAGCATCAAGTCCAGCAATCAAAATTCTTTTGTTATACAATGTTGATCTAAATCTTCAAGACAATGTATGTTCGACAATTGCCTATTGTTCCTTTGCATTTTTATTCGAAATCTGTTCTGCTGGGGAATATTCTTATTTGCACTTTTCAGGATGGATGGACACCTTTACATCTTGCTGTTCAAGCCCGTAGGACAGATATAGTGAAACTGTTATTGATTAAAGGAGCTGATAAAACATTGAAAAACCAGGTAAGAATTAACCAATTAACGTCAACTTTCCTTATTATATACTAAGAGCTTGTTGTGTATAGGTGGTTATCTTTCTTAGTTCACGCATAACCAGATCATGGATGATTGAATTGTTACCCTTGTGCGTTTTGGTTATTGTGGAACCTAGAGGTGGCACTTTTATGATGTGATTTAGATTATTACATAATCATTATGATAGTAAGCTCCAGATTCATGATAGACAACCACGACCTTGAAAACTAGAAGAGTCATTTCCTTTCTTTCAAACTAACTAAAGTACGCGTGGTCATTATAAGTTGATTAACGTATTTCTTTGAAGGATTGTTTATCAAAATTATATCGAAGTGATACCTGTCCATAAGTTTGGCAAACATTGGGACTCTTTTTTATTATATATGGATATAGGATTTAGATTTCAGAGGCATTCTTTGGTTACTGGTATGACATTTTTAGTACTTCAGCAAGTTCTTTTCGCTGATGTTTCGTCTGTTTGATTTGTATTGTTTCTAGCTGCCATATTATTATTTATCCTTCGTTTTTTACTTCATAAAATGCTTAATTGCCCTTACATAGTTGCATGCAGCGGTCAGATCTTTTAATCTTTTTTCTTTGACTCAGGAGGGTTTGACCCCACTCGATCTATGCCTCTACTCCGGTGAAGACACAAGAACTTACGAATTAATCAAGCTGTTGAAGCAGCTTCCAAAACGCCGTTGACTGCTCCGACATAAAATCCATCCCATCAGTGTAACAATTGCCAAACTGATTGTGCAGCCCAGTAGTAGTATTAGATTCAGCATCATCCAAAATCACTTAAAAACTGAGCATCGCACAACTGTATGTATGTCAGATGATCCTTCCAATGGCGAACTCGAGCTTACAAGTAACCGACAAGGCACGTAAGAAGAATGTGCATTCCACAGCCTGCTCTTTTACTGTAAAATCTATCACCCAATCACATCATTATATTTTTGTATAAGTCTATCAATTGAATCTAGGCAGGTATAGACCTTATATTATTAATTGGTCAATCTACCCAATGAATATAATCTGTTTTATTCATTAGCTTCTCATCTCATTTTTTGAGCAAGACAATAGACTATCAAACTAGTAGAAAATTTTTACTCTAGATGTCTTGAAAATTTTAGTATATATGTATATGATTGTGCATGAAACTTGTGGAAAAGGAATTGCTTTTATTGTTTGAAATGGCTTTACTCAAACGTAGCCATCATTTCTCTAATTCAGTTGCGAAATACCTGAAGAAATTGCAGATTATGGGAATTTGACCTTGATTGACTTTAGTGCATGTTAATCGGCTTTCAGGGTCTATTCCTCATAGATTTGTAAAACTTGCCAAGTTGGAAGTTCTAATTCTCTCTGTGAAAATGTTAGATGGTGGAATTCCAGCAAATTTTTCAAGTATATCAACCCTGTCTCAGCTTGCGGCCAATCAGAACAATTTTACTGGTTCAATTCCTAGTGGGCTCACAAGATATGTGAAGAATTTAGACCTTAGTTATAATAAGTTGACAGGGTCTATTCCAGAAGACTTTTTGTCCTTTACAAATTTGCATAATTTAGCACATAACGTACGATTTAGCAATTCATAAAGCTGTCTCAAATCTGAAAAAGGTAAAATAGGTGATAACATATTCTTTTAGGCATATTAGCATCACCAGTTCAGGATACTTACCCTTGGATCTCATTACTCAATCTTTATTCTTTTTATCATTTATAAATTTGCAATCAGATAGATTATTAATTTTCTGTTTTAGTTTTCTGTATTTGAGATTATTGCAGAGTATGCCTATACGATGGGAGTAACAGCGGCTGGGAACGTTTACGGCTTCAATGTTATTCTCTTGGAGTTGCTGACCAGAAAACCTCCAATTAGCGAGGGTATTGAGTTAGCCAAGTTGGTGTTTCCCAACTGGGAACATGAAGATATTAATATCAACGCAACTTCACTTGCTATCAAAAAACCAGATGCTTGCAGTCGTGGAGGTTGCGCTTGCTTGTGTTAGTGTCTTACCAGAAGGAAGGCCAAAGACATGTTGTCTCAATTTATTTCTCCATCATCCATCCTCAAATAATAATAATAAATTAATTAATTAAAAAAAGAAAAAGTTAATTATCTGATAATAAGTTACAACATATAAAATTAACACAATCATAACTCTCAAATAAACAGCATAAACACAATGCAGCATTGACAGCAAGGCCTTGGCACCACAAAATCTTGATCAATGAAACTCAACAAAATCTTCATTCTCATACACAGGATGGACTCCAACCCTTTTCACCTTCACTTTGAACGTCTGGTATCCATGTAACGAAATTTTGAACTCGGGACTATTGATTTTCTCATCAGGTAAATAGAGTAGCCAGAGATGATCTAACCCAGGCAGGCGCGAGTCAACATCAAGAGACAATTGCGGACATCCATGTTCGGAAAAATCCCCAGTCACACTATACGAAAGATGAAGCCGCTCGTTGGCATACATAGTGCGACCTGAAATCTTACAGTAAAAAAATGTAAAGCACACAACATATCCCACCAACTTGCTATCATTCTTGTTCAAATCTGGCGGCTTTTCTATTTTTATTGAATGACCGTCACTCTTATGCTTGAACCACTCTGGAACTTCACTTACTGGAACAACCATGCTAAATCTTTTACTTGAATTTGTCGGCTGTACCCAAAATAAAACAAAGCTTCTATGAGATAGGAAAAAATAGACATGTTGCATAATGTAAATACAAGGATTTATTCGGTCATTAATTGCAGAAAGGAAATGTAATACTACTACTACTAATAATAATGATAAAAGCAAAATCGTGACCATATATATGTAAATAAAATTAGACAGATAATACAAGATCTCTAAAAGTTTGGGAAATGTCGGATAAAATAAATAAAAAATCTAATTCGAAAAAGAGGGAGAAAGTGACAGACCTTGAGGTGTTCCTTCATAATTGAAAATGCCTCACCACTACCATCGAGTTTCAAGCAATTGTGAGATGAAATTTTTGACAAATTCGAATTGCATAATCTTAATGCATTAGATAATCTTTCCAGGGAAATGCAACCGCTTACACTAAGTTCACTTATATTGGAAGGAAGTTCTGGCAGAATTTGAAGCCTCCTACAATAGTTCAACCTAAGTTCTCTGATAGGAACCCAATCCAATAACTCAACAATTTGGGCTGGGCCATGGGTCTTTCATGGGCTTGGGTAGAACTCTTCTTGGAAAACCGGCTTGCCAAGGGAGGGTGTCCAAGCCTTTATAACCCACATGCCCACCCTTTTCCCTTTCAATGTGGGATCCCAACATTCTCTAAGGTTAGAAAGACGATTGATGCTAGCAGGTAACGAAACAAAATTGTTTTGGCTTAGATCTAAAACCATCAATGAGATGAAGCTTCCAAGCAAATCACTGGTTATTGCCCCATCCCCAAGATTACAATCACAAAGATACAACTTTGTAACACGACACAAATTAGCTAGAATGAGAGATAGACAATGAGAGATAGACAAGTGACAGAGAGATTTCAAGTCATCTATAGTACTCGGAAGACTCACAAGTCTCGAACAATGAGAGATAGATAAGTACCAAAGAGATTTCAAGTCATTTATAGTACTTGGAAGACTGGAAAGATTTTTGCATTCTCCTAAGTCCAAGAATTCGAGCCTAGATAACAGCCCAATAGACAGAGGCAATTCTTTAATAGCAGTATCATATAAAATAAGCGCAAAGAGACACTCCATACTTCCTATAATCTCTGGAAACCTCTTCAATTTTGAGCAACCACGAAGATTAAGATATCTAAGAGATTCCATATGAATCTGGCTTGGAAGAGTTTCGAGACTTAAACAATAAGCCAGATCCATATTTTTAATCTTTTCATGAGCTAGTAAAGATGGGTGAATCTCATTCAATCTTGAACATCCCCTAAGAGTCAACTCCTCAAGATTTGGGATCTCTGTGAAATCTGGTGTTTTGATCAAGCTCTCGCAGAAGCTGAAACTAATTGATTTCAACATGTTGAAACGCTGTTAAAATTGAAGAAACAAAAGAAAAAAACGCATTTCTTAGGTTAGTTACCACATTAATTAAAGGATGAATGCATAAAAATATTCAATAATTATTTATTAAAAACAAAAAAAAGTGTAAGTGAATTATCTTACTTTGTTCACCTTCCATGGTTGTCTAATGCGGCTACCGTCCATTTTAAGTTCAACAAGTTTATTCAACTGAAGATTTGATGGCAATGATTCCAAAGGAAATCCATGCCAATCAAGTAATCTTAACTGATTGGAAAGATACTCAAGACCTTTGGGAAGTTGTACTCCTCTAATCTTGAGTAATCTTAGGTTGGTCATCTTTGAAAAGGCTTTAGCACTTGCATTTACATTGAGCTCTGTTCCAAACTCTGTTTCAAGTGTTATGGCTTCAACTAGCTCAGTCCCCTAAAGAATTAAGATAAAAAATATAAGTGACAAACAAAATTGGAGACAAAGATAAAACTATATATACATATAGATATAATCGGTTAAAAATTGAAGGAAAAAAAATATTTCTCACTAGGTGTGTACCGTGTTCGTTGTTAGAACATGACGAATATCCTCTTCATCCCATAATCTACTGCGTTTTCCAGGCTCTTTTATGGATTCTCTCTTAACAATTTGTCGACCCATTTCCTGTAACAAATCATGCATCCCTATTTCATTGTAATCTGAAATAGTTATAAGAGATCTTTCAAGGAGAACACTTAATCCAATAGTTGGGTTAAAACCACAACCATCCAAAATTCTTGTTACATATTCTCTCGTCTGTCTTTTAAAAGAACATGCAATATCAAGAAATATTTTCTTGTCAGTTTCTTCTAAACCATCAAAACTTATTTCAAGTACATCCAAAATCTCCTTCTTAGGATCTCTTTTGAGTCTTTTTAGCGTGTCTGTCCATTCATCTACAATTCTACCAAACAAAAATGAACCCAAAACTTTGAGAGCTAATGGAAGACGACCAGCATAACTTACAACATGTTGGGACAACTCCAAATAGACTTTTGAAGGCTGTTGGTTTTTAAAGGCTTTCGAGATGAAAAGTTCAAGAGCTTCATCACAATTCAGTTCTTTAGCTTCATAAACTTCATCAACCTCGTGAGTCGTCAACAAATGTTTATCTCTTGTTGTTATTATGATCCTACTTCCTAAACCAAACCATTCATGTTTTCCAACTAAATTGTTTAGTTGGTCAATATGATCCACATCATCTACAACAACAAGAACTTTTTTGTGAGGCAACTTTCTCTTTATCTCTTTAATTCCATCATACTCATTGCATATGTTAGTATCTCCTCCCAGAAGTTGACTTTGAAATTTAACTAGGCCACTTTTTCTTGAAATTTCCCTGACATCGGCAAGAAAAGCCTTCCCTTCAAATTGATCTGAAAACAAGTCACAAAAAACTCTTGCAATTGTTGTCTTGCCTATTCCTCCCATTCCCCATATCCCTATCATGCGAATATCATTAGACCCAGTACCTATCAGCAACTTCAGTTCCTCAAGGCGAGAATTTATTCCCACTAGGCCCTCAGAAGTCATCAATGTTGTTCGACTTAATTTAATTGATATTTCTTTGACAATATCATGTATGAGTTCTGATTCGTGTCTGCAAATGAAAAAGAACAATAGTTGTGATCAATCAATGTATGAGAAAAAATTACTATTTAACTTTACAAGTACCAAGAGTTCTTCTCTTTCTTTATATAGTTTACTCTGAATTATGGGTTACTATTGCTATCATATTATACACGTACGGTCAGCTATTTAATGTAGGACCAATGTCTCTTAAACTTTAAATTGAGTAAATATAAGGGAATGATTGGTAGTTAATAGAAGAGATTTTTTTAAAGAATAATCAAGCAATCACCATAGTCTAATGAAAATATTGATCTTTTAATAATTGGTTAATTACAGTAAAAAAAATATTATGACACATTCATAAACATGAAAAAGAAAAACTATTACCTGTTTTTTGCATCCCATCCAGAGAGATCGGCAACCTCTTTTAAAGCATTCCTCCATATTTGAACATTTTGTTTATTCTCCTTATCATGCTTAGCAAAAGCTTCCTCAAACGTCCCTGTTTGTTTCCTTACCGTGGATGGATCAACATCATAAAAAATGGGAAAAACATTTTGTCCCATTGTGTTCTTACATTCAACAATCTTAGCAATTTCATGCAAGCACCAAGAGGAATTAGCATACTTTCTTGAGAAGACGATAATCGAAAATCTTGATTCTTCAATTGCTCGAAGGAGCTCCAATGAAATGGGTTTTCCTCTATCAAGTTCGTCGGCATCTCTAAAAACATTAACTCCTTCTTGAGTCAGAGCAGCATATAGATGATCTGTGAAATTCTTCCGAGTATCTTCACCTCTAAAGCTTATAAAGACGTCATACTTCCAACGGGAAGAACAAATATGATCACCTGAAGAAGAAGCTGTTTGGATACTCATGGAAGGAATGCGATTAATTGATCCAAGCTAATTTTTCCCAAGTTACACGTGTCGTCTATGCCCCCTGATAGAATTGAAAAAAATAAGGAACTAATTTCTTCTTTACCATTTATATATTTATGAGATGCATGCATTTGCTCATATAGTTTTCAACTCTGATATTGTATAAAAGCTACTGAGAAATTAAACTTATATGAATACATTATGTTAGCAAGAAATTAAGAATTAAAATTAAAAGCATATATGCTTAGCTTCCGTTATTTAAATAAAACAAATAAAAAAACCTATATGCTTCTAATTATTCTAGTCCGCTCTCGAAAATCCTATATCAGGTGCATAATCATGCATATACTTAAAATTAAAATAAAAACAGAACAAACTAACATAATTTAACATGAAGAGCTTCAAAGAAAGCTAATTGGTTGTGATTTGATAGGAAAGTAGAGAACTTTTTTGCGTTATATAAAGCGATGAACTCAAGAAATTTTTTCTCTTTTTCTCTCTTCACATAAAGAGAAAAAATAAAATAAAAATAAAGACCCTTCCAAGCTGTTTCATCCTAACCTTTTTATTAAAGCTTCTACTTCATCTATGATTACATTTACCCCCTGGGATGTCGATCTTCTAAGTCCTAGTATTTTAAAAACTAGCATATACCCCCAAATTCTATCTGACGTTAAACGGAGTAAGGGCGAAACAAGTAGTTCACACACAAGCATTACATTTATAAGAAAACGAATATTAATTAAAACCTAAAAGAAAGCACAACTGCAACGACTGGTCTAATCACTAGACAGATGAAACTAAGCATAGATCAATGAATATATTTTGCGGCAAGAGATTACGGATCGAAATTAAAAGCATATATACTCAGCTTGTTTAAAACAATATATAACTGTTTGCTTCTAATAAATTAATTATGTTCAAATTAAAAATAGAAAGTAGAGAAGAAACTTACACAATGTTGATGAGTAAAGTTTGATATAAGAGCTTCAAAGAAAGCAATTAGTTGTGTTTTCAATGGGAAGGAAGAGGAGCTTTCTGTGTTACAAAGTGATGACCTCAACGGAGTTCTTCTCTTACTTGTACTCTCTAGCTTCCACATTTTCTGCAGAAAATATATGATCCAGAACTTTCCACGTAGTTTTGCAATAGGTTTTATTAACGTCTGGTTCAGTCCCTTCTTTTCTAAGTTAATAATTAATGTCTTGCTTTTATCTTCTTGACTTGGACTTTGATAATATATATTTTTATCTATGAAAATTTGAGGGTCACTTTGTTTTATTATTTTGGATAAGATTTTGAAAATAATATTAGGTAGTTGAATAGGGGAGTATTACAAGGTAAAATTTAAAAATTTATAAAAAAAACCCCATAGGTTTGTTAATTTAACTAAACCCTCAATATATAAAAATTTTATAAAATGACAATAATACCCCCACCACCCGTAGTGCCAAATTCTGGCCACCACCGCCTTAATCTAGCCAAAAAATTACGTTACGACACTAACCGGTTAGATCTGATGGATAGGGCGTCGTGGATCTGGCCAGAAAAAGCCAGATCTACGACCAGATCTGACCTTTTCCAGCCAGATCCACTGTGGGCCTTGAAGTCGGGGGTGTGAATTTACCTGATATGACCCGCAGTTGACCGGGGTCACTGTAGCAATCCACCGGTCTAATCAGTTTTACAGGAAAATCGAGTGAACCCAAATTCAAATCAAGGCGACTTTCGACTGTCAAACAAGAATTGGAGTTAGGGGGTTTTGAAGGATGGATTACGGTGAGTCAGGAGGTGTTGTCTGATTAAGTTTAGTCACCAGAATCGCTAGAATTTGGCCAAGAAAGAGAGAAACCCTAGATTTTGATTGTCGGCAATTGGTGGGTGGAATAGCTTAAGAACTTTGGGGGTTTTGTAGGGGAGTAGACGATGAATCTAAGGGTGGTGGTATTTGGAGTTGCTGTTACTCAAAATGGTTAGAATCCAGCAAAGGACAGTCGATCGACATGGTTGTCGTGGCTGACAATCGGCGAGTGATGATAGGGGATAAAGGGGTATGGTTTTGAAGAGGAGAGGGCATGGGTTCCAATGGTGGTGACAAATGTGATTTTGGGTGACGAAATAGCCGAAAAAAAGGGGAAAAAATGCTGACGTCAACGTGTGCTAACATGCGCCTAAAATAACAACAATGCTAACATGCACCGAAAACAAAAAATTTTCATTTTTTTTATGTTGACGTCACTGGTTTACTCGACAGTTAAATCGGTCAACCTGGGACTCGACCACTTTTGCTAGGTTTAGCCCTTGGTTGGTTTTTAAAACATTGGAAAAAAGCTAAAAATTTTAGTTTTATCTTAATGTGAAAAGTCTAATTAGTTTTCATTAAATGAGCCCTCCCAAATTTCTTCATTAATTTCTCAAATTACACTCATTACTTACTTAAGAGTTAAGATATCAATATACATTTATAATTATTATTATTATCTTTTTCTTGTGACAAATTAGGATGTCTTCATTAATTTCGCAATTACTTTTATTAAAGTTGCTACTCCACCCATCTCTTATTTTTTTTTTTTTCCTTTTTTGACTTAGGTCCATTTTTTTTCACGTTCGAAGAATTAGAAAAAATGAAAATTTTGTATTCACATATTTATTGGAAATATTCCCCTCTATAACCATCTTTAATAATCTTAATTTCCAAAATGTCAAGGTTTTGTATAAAAAAAAGATTTAACTATAAAATTACATGATTTAACTTAATTGCCCTTAGTTAAAATAACAAGAACAAAAATAGTTAGAATATGCTAAATTATCAAGTCTAGCACCATTTAGCATAGTCCAACATACTTTAATTACACTGTTAAACCATATAGTTAAATGCTAGACTCGATTTAAATCATAAAGCCTAGCGTATTCTAGTATTATTTATTAAGCATATATCATTTGTTATGGCCTTGTTGAATGGGAGGATTACCCCCTCTTATAAACCAGTTGGTTTGAGCATGTCTTCTCGGTGTGGGACTCTAACAATCTCTCTCACGGTCAAGCTCATATGTTGGATCATGCCTGTTGATGGAGGTAGTTGTTGGCTCTAACTCTTTAGCTGCTAGTCAAGCACTCAGTTCAACCGAACCTAGCTCCGATACGATGATAGAATTTGAAGTGAGCTTGATTCCTCATCTAGTAAGGTCTTGTTAAATGGGAGGATTACCCTCTCTTATAAACTAGTAGGTTTGAGCGTGCCTAGTCGGTATAAGACTCTAACACATCAAGTGTATAATTGGTAAGTTGCTAAATTTTACGACTAAATTTGTCGTTTAAATATAACTTGTTTACTTTGAGAAAATGTGATTACTGAGTTGATTATATATGTCAAAAACCCTTATTTATTGGTTGTTTGATTTTACCATTTAAGATCGAGGATTAGTCATATTCTTCTTAATGGAAAAAACTAAAAATTTTAGATTTATCTTAATGCCAAAGGTCTAATTAGTTTTCATTAAATGAGTTATTCAAAATATCTTCATTAATTTCTCAAATTTCATTCATTGCTTATTAAAATATCAATATACATTTATTATTATTATTATTTTCTTGTGAGTTGTGACTAATTAAGTTTATTAAAAAATATTGTTATATATATATATATATGTCAAACGAACAATTTATAATGCAAATTAAAGACGTAGTATTTAATATGCATGAGGACATTATTTTAATACTAACTTTTAGATGTTTATTATTTGTTAAACAAACAACTTAATACTTATAATCCAACGTTAAAAATTTGTAAACAAACATACTATTAAGTTATCCATTTAGGCCTATACATTAGTTTGACAAATTTAGCACAAATTAACAAAATCAACCTTAGAATTAATAATTAAAGTTTCTTGATGTAAAAGCAGAGGTTTTTTTTTTTTCTGTCTAATTAATTATAAAGTGATGAAGGGTCAAGAAATTTCTCCTCTTTTTCTCCCTTCACATGCATACTCTACAAAGAGAAAAAATTCACGAGCCTTCCATGTAGTTTCGCAATACTCTACATAAGACTTTTATCAATGAAATTTTATATGTTAATACTCCTGCGAATCAACTGTAAATTAAACAAGTAAAGATTATTATTGTTGTGTAGTAATACACTTTAAAGCATTTGGATGCTCAATTTGAACCCTTCTTTATTAACTTTTTGATTTCTTAAATCTTTTAATTTATATTTATTCCAGTAATTTATAAATTCAAGGACAGTGTTTGAGTATGGATGACTATAAAATTTATAAGTTATTTGCATAAAATAAACGCATTTTCTAGTCAAAATGGGGTCCTCCTAACGAGTTTAATAGACTTTTTTTTAATAAAAGTTTCTAGATTTTTTTTAATATATAATATTTTGAAAATTGAATGATTATAAACATTTGAAATTTTCTGTGTTAACGACGGCTAAAGGTGATCCAAGCGATTCTTTAAAACAACTTCGTAATTACTTAATTCTATAAATCTTTTACAAAGAGTTTGATGATAATATTAAGATAATTTATAAAACATATAACTTATAAGCTAGAACATAATATTTGAAATTTAAACATCAAATTTGGGATTTTACAAGTGTAAATTATAAATTCCATTTTGTGTTACTAGTCTTAACTTTTCAGACTTCAAATATTTAGCCAACAACAAATCTTTTTTTTTTTTTTTTNAAAGCAGAGGTTTTTTTTTTTTCTGTCTAATTAATTATAAAGTGATGAAGGGTCAAGAAATTTCTCCTCTTTTTCTCCCTTCACATGCATACTCTACAAAGAGAAAAAATTCACGAGCCTTCCATGTAGTTTCGCAATACTCTACATAAGACTTTTATCAATGAAATTTTATATGTTAATACTCCTGCGAATCAACTGTAAATTAAACAAGTAAAGATTATTATTGTTGTGTAGTAATACACTTTAAAGCATTTGGATGCTCAATTTGAACCCTTCTTTATTAACTTTTTGATTTCTTAAATCTTTTAATTTATATTTATTCCAGTAATTTATAAATTCAAGGACAGTGTTTGAGTATGGATGACTATAAAATTTATAAGTTATTTGCATAAAATAAACGCATTTTCTAGTCAAAATGGGGTCCTCCTAACGAGTTTAATAGACTTTTTTTTAATAAAAGTTTCTAGATTTTTTTTAATATATAATATTTTGAAAATTGAATGATTATAAACATTTGAAATTTTCTGTGTTAACGACGGCTAAAGGTGATCCAAGCGATTCTTTAAAACAACTTCGTAATTACTTAATTCTATAAATCTTTTACAAAGAGTTTGATGATAATATTAAGATAATTTATAAAACATGTAACTTATAAGGTAGAAGATAATATTTGAAATTTAAACATCAAATTTGGGATTTTACAATTGTAAATTATAAATTCCATTTTGTGTTACTATTCTTAACTTTTCAGACTTTAAATATTTGGCCAACAACAATTGATGGTTTCCTTTCTCCATTACGTTTTCTTTATCGGCAATCAGATTACAATTCTTTTCTTTTTTTTCGTCTATGTACTACTATTACTCTAGTTCTCCCAACAATTATGGCTTGAGCTATTGTAATACATTGTTTTTGGCTTCTAGATAATTGCACCCCCTTTCCCCACACCATCCAGAGATGATATCATTAGCATTGGTTGCCTTAACCATCTCAGTAATCTCCAATTCATCGTTTTTGTCGGGTACACCATACGTAACGTTATTTCTAATAGTACAAGCAAACAATAAATGTAATATGTCTTCTTGATGACTTATGGTGATATGATCTACCATCTTGACTGTCGATTTTTGCTATACCTTTTTAGGGATCATAAAATTGATCAATTAAACTCATAATCTTCTATTTACCAGACTCGTTTTGTTCAACCAATGTTGGTGATTTCCCAGCTTCAATGTTGATTGAAAAACCTTTGAAAATTATTTCTACGTAGTTTGACAGTTTGCTTGAGACTCTTGAATGTATTAATCAAGAGGTTTTGAGTTCGAATTTCTACGACTGCTAATAAGAGATAACCACTGAAAATTTACTTGACTGTT